AATAGGCTGAAACGGAGTAGGGCCTGCAGGCCCTCGTTTTTCAGCTTTCAGGCTGAAACGACCGGGGCCTGTAAGCCCTAAGTTTTAGGCTTTTAGGCTGAATGTCCGGGACGGGCCCTGCAGGGCCCGTGTGGCTATGCAGTATACCACACTTAGTCTGGACGCTGTGCCCCTAGCCTATTGATCCTCAGGACTCTTGTTTTCGCCCTTAGGGCCCTACAAAATGACTTTTGACCCCAGAACTTGGACTCAGCGAAAAGCTACGACCGACCCAAAGGCTGTTGCATTGCTAATCGTGACCGCAGATCCTTTCACTCCCACCTTCCTGATTCTGAGTTACCGTTGCAGAACTTCATTCTTCATTGACTTCTGCTTCTCGGATTCCACAAGATCCTTTTCATAAGTACCAACTATTTGCAGCGCAGTTTGCTCTTGCTCTCTCTTAGGAAACCATCTATCTTTAGAAGGATGCTGAGTCTTGAACCTGACCTTATACTGCCTAGGTGGCCTTCCTTGTTGACCTGCTGTCCTTAAAGTATTATGCACTACGGGTCTACCAATTTCACATATTCCGTACATTGAGGGCAGTATCATGGGTCTACAAGAGGGAAACTTGACGCTTTAGAAGCGTGCACAAACAAACAAACAAAAAACAAAACAAAACAAAAAACAGTAGAAGTGTCTAGGCCATACAAAACAGTCAAGGTGGGCTACTTATCCAGAGACTTCAGAGACAACGACCCAAGTCTGCAAAACAGACCAAATGCAACCCTAGAGCTAGAGCAAGAGAGGGGTTCCAAAATGATCTCACCTTGTAGTTGCCACATGGAATATCACTGGCACCACTTGGGAGCTGATACACAGGATCAACAGGATCTACATGTCTTTTTGTCCTCATCCACATTGGGGGAAATTTCTTCACCCATGGCTCAACTGCCAGGAATTCCTTCGAGTCCAATTTATCATAGCCCTGTGAGATGCACAACCACAAAATACTGATGAGATGAAAGAATTGATTCAACACCTTGCAAAACCAGGACTGAAAAGTGAAAAGGATGTTCCCAAACAGTTTAGCAGCATCCTCTTTAGTATGAAGGTAACCGGGAACTGGCTGCTGAGTACTAAACACTATTAAACCACCAGTACACTGCCCCACCTTGCTGAAAAAGAAACTCGTAGCCTACGAAAAATCTGTGAGGCTCGGCTCGGCCTAGCAGACCACGATGACTGGCAGCGCCAGCCAAAAAAGAAAGAAAGTGCGTCGCTGGTGGTTCGGAAAAGCTTGGCGCGCAGCAAGGCGCCTCCAGGCCTATGTGTACTGGTGGTTTAAGGTTGAGCAAATCGAACACATCTTTGCAACTTTGGCAACAGCCAGTTCAGCAGCAGCATCCTCTTCAGGAGAACGAAGCCGACCAACTTAAATACTGGATCTGGTTACCGGAAACTGGCTAAGTACTAAACACCAGTGAGGTTGTGCAAGTCAAAGACATCTTTGTGTCTTTGTAATAAAACATTTTTTTTTTTCCTGGACCAAGTATTTCTGTAAAGGTTTTGGAACTTTCGCAGATACAAAGGCCAAAACTTATCGAACAAAGTAATCAAAAACTTCATAACTGAAGCATACGTTCATACTTTCAATTTTCTCAAAATATTCAGAGCATGCAATTCACCCAAAGCAAAAGCCAGCAAGTGTAACTAGAGAGGACAACAAAAGCGGTTTCCTGTTCGGTCATGGAAAAGGAGTCAAAAGGACACGTTGTTTACAAGGGGCATAGTCAGAGACTTGCATGAAGTGTGCAAACTTGACCCATCCTACGCCTGGCAATCAAGGCCAAATTAGAGCAAACTAAATGCGTGAAGTTGTAAATGCATCAACTCGGGTGTCTCATGAACTTGTACGATTCTGATTTGTTCATCCTAAATCCTGTCGATGGAGATGAACTTTCCGTTATACATGTGAAGTTTCTGATGGACAAGAAGGGCCAGAGCGCCAGGAAAGGGCAGACTGGAAAGGGACAAATAGTCGATGGACAGGGCCATAATTGAATTGTTGAGCGGAAGTCGAGCTTAAGGAAAGGAGGACTTGTGAAAGGGGCATTTGCAGATATGGGCACAGAAAAAAGTTATGAGTAAAACACAGAAAGAAGTGGGGTGGTCAAGGGAATGGGATGAGGAACGGGCGCTGACCTTGTTGTTCAGATGCATTCCCATGAATGAGAGTGATAGAGAGGAGGAGGAGCGAAAAATTGGAGCATAACAACATTGGAATAGTAGTGGCAATTGATGTATGAAAGGCAAAAGCAATGACATGAGTAAAAAGGCCCACGAAGGCCAAAACACTCGCGTAGCGGATAGGTAGGCAGAAGAAGACAAAGTTAAAACCCTGGGAGACCAAAGCAGAAATTAGAGAACCGGTCCAAGTAGCCTGAGTCTAGAGCCTGCAGGAGGGGATATCGGACTGCAATGATGTTTCCCTCCGAAAGTAGGAGGTGCCTGGTAGACTTGGAGGCCGCACGGCCTTGAACCAACCGCGTGAGGACGCACTTCACTCGTATATCTTACCGGGACACTTCCACCTCATTTGCTTGAGTGCAGTTCAGCGGCATGCTGCTGGAGTGGGCACCCAGCTGAGCAGAGCTAGGGCGGGAAGAAGGCGGCCTTGGTCTTCCACCTCAGTTATGGTGGAAAGCACTAAGGAGGAGCATCCAGGGAAGGAGGAGGAGGAGAACGATGGTGAGCAAGGAGGGGAGTAACGGGGGAGCTTACCTGGCTATGGTGGTCTGCATCTTCATCTTCCTGGTTGGGCCCGCACCAGGAAGGGCCCAGTTGGGGTTGGCATCTTCAAGGAAGACTCCGGGGCAGTAGACATAGTAGGAGGGGCATCGTAGCTTTGCGTTGTCCTTCGAACATCGGGGTTGGGTCCGATAGTCCGCCATAGCCACCATCATTCATATGAGAGAAAGAAGAGTTCTCTTGAGAGGCTGGCAGCAAGGGGAGGTATTGGACATTGATTCTAGTTCATTCCTTCGTTGTTATTTATTATTATTATTATTGTGAAGAAGAAGTTGGGGGAGGTTTTGGGGGTTGAGGAAGACGGCGAGAGAACGGGAATTGACATTGGTACTTGCTGGTGTTTACTTTCTTCTTCTTCTTCTTCCTTTGTCTATTTCTCTTTCCAAGTTCTTTCATTTCAGTTGTAATTGAATGGCATTGTCTTTCTTTGAGTTGTTGCATGACAACATAGCGAGAGAACGGGAATTGACATTGGTACTTGCTGGTGTTTACTTTCTTCTTCTTCTTCTTCCTTTGTCTATTTCTCTTTCCAAGTTCTTTCATTTCAGTTGTAATTGAATGGCATTGTCTTTCTTTGAGTTGTTGCATGACAACATAGCCAAGGTTGTAGCAAAGCAAAGAAACGAGACAAACATGAGTGCAAAGAAAAGCACTGTTTGTAATCGAGTTGCAAGTACATGACTGTGAACAACACTGAGATTACCATTACGGTAGTGCATGAGAAAATACTACACTAAGTGATGTACATGCTGAATGTTATCAGCAGTCTGATGGCATCAGAGTGAGTTGGAATGTAACGGGGCAGATGACCACTGCAGAAATGTTTGACAGTGGGGTAAATAGTTTGCAACGTTAGTTGCATGACAAAGTTTTTTGTCATTGTTCTGATTTTGCGAAAACGATGTCATGGCCATTCGTCACAGATTAGCGGCTGAGCTAATGTCATTTTGTAGAACGATGTGGGAAATTGCAGCGTTTATGTAGTCGCCAACGTCAACCATGTTGATATGCCTTTGGCCTATGCAGTCGACCAGCAGTGCGGATTCCAGAATACCGGAATACTCCAGTAGACGATGTCCGAGTCTTTCTTGTGTTGTAGAACTGCAGTTTTCTTCTGCATCCTGTATACGCGTACTATACGGCATAAGTAGTGGAGAGGATGGAGAGGCATTTTTGTGGTCCGATTTTGACAAGGGTTGGAAGCATGGCGAATTGTCTACAAAAGAAGAGGTTGGCACATTAGGAGCATTGTTTTTGGAACGTAGTTTGTTAGTGACACGAAGATGGACTGTTGGGGGGTTGAGGCGGGAGGAAGGAGCCTGTGTGAAGGGATGGGGGGATGGGGGCCCTATCCACTTTTGGTTCGGGTTGTATTGCATAGTAAACAATATACCTTGACCCAAAACCCTAAACGCCCACAACCTTGAGCCCTGAAACATAAACAATGAAACGTAGGGGTGCGTGTGAAGAGTTGGGGGGTTTGGGGGGCCTATCCACCTTTGGATCGGGGTGTACTGCATACTAAATAAACCCTGACCCAAAACCCTAAACCCCAACAACCTTGCCCTGAAACATAAACAATGAAGGGTAGGGGTGCCTGTGAAGGGTTGGGGCTTTGGGGCGCAGGGCTGGGGTATTCGCCTGATGCCCTTAAAACACAGGGGAATTGGATAATGCACCCCTGACAAGCTGGAAATTTTGCGAACTACCTCACTTATTTTATGGACTCCGCATATTTTGTGAATGCCCCTAGCGGGCACCTGTTCAACTTCTCCTGATACCCCAGTACTTCTGGCCGCCGAACACTCGTGGCAATCAGGCCGCTGGACCACTGAGGTAGAGTCGAAGATTTGCAAAATGTGACCGCTGGACCCCTGAGGTAGAGTCGAAGATTTGCAAAATGTGAAAGTACTGCCCTCTCTCTCTCTCTCTCTCTCTCTCTCTCTCTCTCTCTCTCTCTCTCTCTCT